GCCTTTTGTGCAGGTTGAGCTTTGTGGTCATGCAACATTAGCAGCTGCATACACTCTCTTTAACTCTGGTTTGGTAAAGTCCGACATTGTTGAGTTTGCCACATTATCGGGAATCCTAAAAGCTAAAAAGGTTCCAGATGTTAAGACAGCCAACGGTTTGAATACTCACAATGGGGAAGCACAAGAGTCCTATTTTGTTGAACTGAATTTTCCTGCCGACCCGTCTAATGAATTCAACTCTGGTGATGTTTCGGTAATCTCTAAGGCCTTAGATGGTGCTTCTATGGTTGAAATAAGGAGGACAACTGTCACAGATGATTTACTTGTAAGTCCTACAATCCTTCTAGAAACCTACATTTTCAATTCCCTATTATGCTTTCGATTGATAGAAGCGTATAAAACAACGGACAAATTTTTATTTTACTGGATTGCCTGTGCAGTCTAGCATGCACTCTTAAGTGATACTGGTTTCATTTTTCAAGGTTGTGCTTCCATCAGCAAAAGCTGTCACAGATTTACAGCCGCAGATTGATGCAATTCGACAGTGTCCAGGGTCTAGGGGAGTGATTGTTACGGGGATTGCTCCTCCGGAATCTGGATATGATTTTTACAGTAGATTCTTCTGTCCCAAACATGGAATTGATGAGGTAAGCAGCTTGCATTGTTCTCTCAGCAAGTTTCTCTCAAGTGCCTGATACCTGGTGCCAAATGCTGTTGCTATGTATCTGCATCAATAAGCCTTTCCTTTTTTATATTTTCTTTTGTTTTTTCTTTCTGCTAAAGTGGATTTAAAACATTTGAATAACCTGATTGGCCTTTTCCTGTGTCTTTCTTTTTCCGCACGATCTTTGTTAGTTTCATTATCCCAAGCTAAAGTATTGGAATATATCCGACTTAACCTGCTAACATGGATTTAAACCATTTGGTACATAAATCTGAATACTGCTAAATTTTTATGTCAGGATCCTGTTTGTGGGAGCGCACATTGTGCTCTTGCATCATACTGGTGCAAAAAACTTGGAAAGTCTGATGTTTTTGCTTATCAGGCACACTCTCACTCTCTCTCTCTCTCTCTCTCTCTCTGTGGTATTATAAAAATCTCAATCCCCTCATACGTTGATGTTTACTTTCAGGCATCACCTCGAGGGGGAGCAATAAACATTCATCTAGATGAGCAAAATCAAAGGGTACTGCTGCGAGGAAAAGCTGTTATGGTGATGGAAGGAACTGTTTTAGCTTGAAGTTGGAGTTAATTTTACTTTGAAGTATAAACATTTGAAATAAATGACTCAATTCGATGGGGAAAGAACCATTAATTTGAGCAAATTAGTTAGGTGTGCCTTTATTTTTCATTTTGAAATGTGTATCCCGAATTCTTCATCTTGGCATCTTGAAAGGTGCTACTGCTGCTCAACTTTCTTCTCAGCTGAGCTGCTGAAGTCTCTCTCTCTCTCTCTCTCTCTCTCTCTCTCTCTCTCTCTCTCTCTCTCTCTCTCTCTCTCTCTCTCTCTCTCTCTCTCTCTCTCACACACACACACACATATTCTTCCTGTGTGTATCTGATGCGTGCAAGTAGTTTTTGAATTTATTGCTGAAATGGATGAGTGCGGGTGGATGCTTTCACTGGCTGACTTAGCTGTCAAGGGGAACCCAGCAGCAGTTTGCTTGCTGGAGGAAGAGAGAGACGACCGGTGGTTGCAGGCAGCGACCTCAGAGTTCAATCTCTACGAGACATGTTACTTGACTCAGCTCATTGACTCGGACACAGCTCCAAGGTTCGGTGTTTCCTTCCAATTTCCGCTCATAAAACATCATTATAGTTTCTGGTTTTAAGTTTTAAACTCATATCACAGTTTATAATAACAAGGTTGAAATATAAAATCCACGCAACAATTCGAGTGTCTAAGATCCAAATCTTCGGCAGCCACGAATTCAGTAAAATTGGTCCTTTTACTCTTGCAGTGTATAGATTTACTTGAAAAGCAAACTTTTCATGTAACTCAGGTTTCTCTAAGTTTGATATCGAGCTATCTAGTTTGAAAGCTTGATTCCTTTTTGCAGGTTGAGCTTTGTGGCCATGCAACATTAGCTGCTTCATACACTCTCTTTAAGTCTGGTTTGATATTTTCCGACATTATCGAGTTTTCAACTTTGTCTGGAATCCTAACAGCTAAAAAGGTTCTAGATGTTAAGACAGCCAATGATGAAGCACAAGAATCCTCCTATTTCATTGAACTGCACTTTCCTGCTGCCCCGTCTAATGAATTCAACTCTGATGAGGTTTCGGTTTATCTCCACGCCTTGAATGGCGCTTTTCTATTAATGAAAGGAGGGCAACTATCACAGGTTTATCTCCACGCCTTGAATGGCGCTTTTCTATTAATGAAAGAAGGAGGGCAACTGTCACAGGATGATCTACTTGTAGGTCATGCAATCCTTCTAGGAACCTGCATTTTCGGTTCCATATTATCAGTTCAATCAATATAAGCTTATAACTTTTCCTTTCTGATGGTTCTGGTTCCTTCTTGTTTCATTTTCCGCAAGGCTGTGCTGCCATCAGCAAATGCGGTTGCAGATTTACAGCCATAGCCTGATGCAATCAAAAAATGTCCGGGGTCTAGGGGAGTCCTTGCAACAGCAATTGCTCCCCCAGAGTCCGGGTATGATTTTACAGTAAATTCTTTGCCCCTAAACACACTGTGAATGAGGTATGCTGTTTGCTCACTTATCATTTTCCGGTATTGTGACAAAACTACAATTGATAAAAATCTGAAAGCTGCTTCTTTGTTTATGTCAGGATCCTTTTTGCGGGAGCGCACATTGTGTCTTAGCATCATACTGGTGCAAAAAACTTGGAAAATCTGATGTTGTTGGATACCTGGTACTCTCTCTCGCACTCTATAGCTCTCTTTCTCGCTCTTCATTCTTATCATAAACTTACAACCCCGTATATTGATACATTATCGCGTATGTTTAGGCATCACATGGAGGAGGAAGAGTACGCATTCATCTAGACGAGCAGAATCAAAGGGTGCTGCGTCGAGGGAAAGCGGTTACTGTGTGATGGAAAGAACTGTTTTAGTTTCAAATTCAATCTATTGTGTTTGGTTATCCTGCAGTTTTCTTCAAAAAAATCTGTATTCTGATTTGTTAGTTCTCCATTTGGCATGAAATGGTGCAACTTTGGGCTTGTTTCCAAAATGAACATATTCAAAGAAGCTGTATGTGAAACTTGCTAGTTCAAGGTTTAGTTTTCGTTCAATTATTTAGTGCATGGGTGGTTCGGTATGAGATCCCATACCGAAACCCTTGTCCCGATTCCCAAACCAAATTTTTCGAGAATCCCAATTTGAATACCGATCCCAAACCAAATTTTCGGGAATCCCAATTTTCGGAAATCCCAAAATAGTTTCGGGATTTGGGACAAATCGGGAATCCCAAAATGGTTTTGGGCTTTTGGACTAAAATTTGATATTATGCTTATGTAACTCATTGAATGAAATGTTAGATTGTGCAAATATATCAAGTCTCATTCACATTCTTGGAAGTGATAGATTGTGCAGGCTGGTTAGTCTGTGACTGAGAATCTATTGCATCTCTTGCTAGTTTAAATGCAAATAAATGCAAATATAATCTCATATCGGGGCACAAGCAATGGATTGCAAACTGTAAACTTTACTTGAAAGCTCTTAACCTGACTGACAAGCATTGCTACCTTGCGTTGCTTTGCTGTCCATTTACGAGTAATCTACATATGTAAAATACATATTTACAATGCCAACAATCTCCATTTATTGGTGTAAACAGTAAAGAGACTCAAGCATAGTAACTAGCTGATTCAACATTCTTGGTTTCGACATAAATAAAACAACATTGCTTACGTCATATCATAATTCATAACATATTCCATTCTCTGTAATAAGTTCAAACCATAAAGTCCATAATCAATTATAAAAGAATAATATATATGTATAAATATATATATATAATAATTAATAATATATATTTTCGGTTCAGTATGGGATTCCTGAAATATCGAGAAGCAAATCCCGAATCCCGTACCAAAATTTCGGGATCAGTTCGGGATAGCATCCCAAAAATTTCGGGAATTTCGGTTTGGGAAATTTTTGGTTTGGGATCGGGATTTTTTCGGTTCGGTTCAGGATTTTTGGGAATTTTTTCCACCCCTAATTTAGTATGCATGAAATACGGTCACATAGTGTTATTATTTCACTCAAATTATAACATGTGAATTTGTTTTTCTATTTATTAAGACATCGATCATTTCGTCCACCTGATTATAAAACATTGAATGGCACACCATGTAGCATGTGCAACAACATATCAACCGTGTCGCATCCTACTGAAATGTATAGTCTGGGTGAAATAAACTCTGATTATTGTATTTCTGAGCAAATAATCTTTGCACATGAGCCGTTGATCTATTTGTAATAAGCTCGGTATAAAATTGTGATTGAGTTAACCGCCATTTATAAATTTGTATATATTGTGAAAATAATTTAACGGGTACGTAGCCATTTACTTGGATTTTTAAGTTACCAATTTGGAAATCATTTTGGTTCAATTCGGGGGATTCAAATCCCTCACTCTTCATGCAGATATCTTATGCACATGAATTCTTGATATTTCTCTTTTAATCTGCACTTTCACAAAATATTTTCTGCATATAAAAAATCATTAATACACTAAATCAAGACATAATTACATCCAATTTAAGACAAAGGATACTATATATACATATATATATATATATATGTCTGCAATTATAAATACCCTTCTCATATTCCTCATAAACCGCAAGAAACCTCCACCATCTGAGCAGAAATCTCACTCTTGATTCCAGGGCTATATTCCAAAGCCACCATCAATGGTCCACAATCACATTCCTCAGGTACTTTCCCATTCCCACCATTCCAAATGAACTTTTTGTGTATGTATACACATAAACATACATACATACATACATACATACACACACACACACACACATATATGTTGTTGCATGCTGTATAGACTTGTACTTTGTATACATAAGTACCCTTTGGATTATATCGTTGCAGACAGAGATTACAAAAATTAACATAGAATGTCGCAAATGTCAAGAGAAGCTCAAGAGATTCCTCTCAAAATTTCAGGGTAACTTTTTATTATAATTTTGTATTTTTGATGAACTGATTCTGGGAACATATACGAATTTCGTATTTTATTTATCTTTTTTATATCATATTTTTCCCTAGGAACCTATTCTGTTAAGTTCGACCCGGAATCCGGAAGATTAACAGTTGAATCCACGGTAGACAAGAACACGATCAATGAGGCCGTAGAGCATGCTAGGTTTTCTGCGGGGCTCATGTGTGAGGATAATACTCTGCCGCCCTCCCACAACAGTTTCTTGCAACCCAAGGCAACCGCCAGCCACGAGTTGAACGGAGCACAAGATCAAGGGCTTGAGGTAATAAGATGGGCTCAAATGGGAGAGCTCCAAAAACTTCCCAACATCCACAGGCTGAAGAAGTTGGAGCTGACTCAATCTGGAAGCAATCGAAGAATCAAACTCACATTTTTCGACAAGAAACCTCAGCCTCAGCCACAACCTCAGCCCCATGCTAGGGTTAATGTCATTGATGTTAAGGATGATGAGCAAAATGTGCCCCATGGCGAAGGAAGCGGTGGCAATAGCTGGCCGGCGGACAAAGTTTGTGGAGATCATGAAGGTGGCGAAGGAAGCAGCACCACAAGTTGTGATGGTGGTAGCCACCACAACTTTGAGTTTCAATACGTTCATACTCCTGAGGCAGCAGGCAATAATAATAATCATCATGTGCCACATGATACTTATTTGCCTCCGACGACCGTGACCGTGTGACCAGTGGCGGATCCAGGATTTTAAACTCGGGGGGTCCCAATAATAAATTTCAAAAAAATTATAGACAAAAATAACATTAAAAAGTTAAATATAATACATTTCATTCAAAATCATACGCAAAACAACATTACAAGCTATAAAATCACAAAACAACAAATCGTCGTTTTTTCTTTGCATGCAAAGTGTATGGGAACTCATGCTTTGTAGGCCTACAAGGTCCCATTTGCAAATATGTTCTTTGAACCTCATCTTGAATATTAGAAGAATAGTCCTTCATTCGAATTCTTTTTCTTGGGTCTCTCTCAAGATTATTAAAATCAACGTCACACTCATTTTGTCTTGAGCTCGAACTACCAGAACAAATAAATGGTGCTATTGGCTTTGGAAGGAAAAATCTTTCCATATTTCTTATTTGTAAACTACATATTTAAGCAAAAACACAAAACATATACCGATTAACCAATAAACAAAAATTCCATCTAAATTCCAATGATAAAATGAGTATACAAACATAAAAACATATCAACAATCATATCAATAAATAGACTAAAAATCTCCATCAATATCTAATATAATTTAATTGAGATTAGATTAGAATTCTAAAAAACTTAAAATTGAATTTTTGAACCAAATAGTGATGGAGTGGAGAATTAAAACAAGTGGATATATGATATTGGACTTACGTAATTATAATATGGGATTGGGTCATGGGTGAGATTAGAAATTTAGGGTTTTGAAATGGGGGGAAAGAGGGAACCAAATAATAGGGAATTGGGGGAAAAAGCAGCAGGGAAAGAGAGAACTTTTGGGGAAGGGCTCAGGGGGGCTGGGCTTTAAAAATTAAAAGCAATATTGAGTCATCATGCAGGGCAAACGACAACGTTTGTCTACCTTTTTGTTTTTTTATACTTAAAACCAGTGGCGGATCCAGGATTTTAAACTCGGGGGGTCCCAATAATAAATTTCAAAAAAATTATAGACAAAAATAACATTAAAAAAGTTAAATATAATACATTTCATTCAAAATCATACGCAAAACAAACATTACAAGCTATAAAATCACAAAACAACACAAATCGTCGTTTTTTTTCTTTGCATGCAAAGTGTATGGGAACTCATGCTTTGTAGGCCTACAAGGTCCCATTTGCAAATATGTTCTTTGAACCTCATCTTGAATATTAGAAGAATAGTCCTTCATTCGAATTCTTTTTCTTGGGTCTCTCTCAAGATTATTAAAATCAACGTCACACTCATTTTGTCTTGAGCTCGAACTACCAGAACAAATAAATGGTGCTATTGGCTTTGGAAGGAAAAATCTTTCCATATTTCTTATTTGTAAACTACATATTTAAGCAAAAACACAAAACATATACCGATTAACCAATAAACAAAAATTCCATCTAAATTCCAATGATTAAAAATGAGTATACAAACATAAAACATATCAACAATCATATCAATAATAGACTAAAAATCTCCATCAATATCTAATATAATTTAATTGAGATTAGATTAGAATTCTAAAAAACTTAATTGAATTTTGAACCAAATAGTGATGGGAGTGAGAATTAAACAAAGTGGATATATGATATTGGATGGACTTACGTAATTATAATATGGGATTGGGTCATGGGGTGAGATTAGAAATTTAGGGTTTTGAAATGGGGGGAAAGAGGGAACCAAATAATAGGGAATTTGGGGGAAAAGCAGCAGGGAAAGAGAGAACTTTGGGGAAGGGCTCAGGGGGGCTGGGCTTTAAAATTAAAGCAATATTGAGTCATCATGCAGGGCAAACGACAACGTTTGTCTACCTTTTTGTTTTTTTATACTTAAAACAATGGGCCAAAACACAGCCGTTTTGGACCAATTGGTAAAAAGCCCTATTTTCTTTCTTCTTCCCGCAGCGTCTTCTTCTTCACTGCTACCTGCAACTGCAACCTGCAACCTGCACAGCAGCTCAAACCTTGTGTTCGAGGGGTCCCCCGGAAATTTTCTAACAGGGATTTAGGGTCGCCGAAGGGTCCTAGGACCTCCCAGGTCCCTCTGTAGATCCGCCACTGCGTGTGACGGTGGAACACACTGCGGTCCGGTGCGAGGAGGCCATTGCAAACAGATGCACCATCTTGTGATGGATACCGACCGTCCAGCATCTCCATTGCCAAATGCCATGACTGATCATTGACTTGTTTCTATGCTTGTCTTCTGATTTTACAGCTTTGAGAAATAAACACTAGCTAGCTAGGTAGCTAAAGGTGTACTTTTTGTGATTTTTTGTCTCATTTATTTTTGTTTAATAAGTTATCGTCAGTGATCTCAAATAATGTGATAATATTTTTTTGCGGAAGTAGGATTCTCTCTCATTTCCTCTTCTCCTCTCTCAATTTTTTTTTTCTTTCTCTCTATGTAAACAAGTCAGCAGACAATGTTGATATTGCTTAATCGTGACCGTTCAAATAGAAGGGGAGTGGAGGGGAGGAAAATTTGAAAAAGTGATAATCCTACTCCTAATTTTTTTGCATTCCTAAGTAATGTGGTTTTGTCAACCATTTTCAGAAACTTGGAATGATGAGCCACAAATTTACAACAAACCAAACAGTAGATAAGACCTTCTTTTTCAACTCACTATCTCTCAAGTTTAAATCTTTTGCCTCTTTTTAGCGTAACTTAAGAGTCGTACCATCATTTGTTATCAACAAAATTTACAAACAAAAACAAAATAAAAAACCTCACCATGGTTTTCTCATCTATCACTTTTATTTTCGTGCAGTAAATGTCTTGTCATACCACAACAAAAATGAGCTTTGGGTACAAAGCAAAGGGCATAATTGAGAATTTTGTGTCACCTTGCCCACCAAAAAGCTTAAACAGTTCTCATTCCATAGAGGGCACCATCTATTGTGCCCAATGTTAAAAAAAGCAGACACAAAACAGTAATGGGCACGGAAATCATGCAGAGTGGGGTTAGATGACAACTTTTTGACTGAAGATGGGCACAAAAAACATTTTGTGTCTATAAAAATTGTTTGTCAGCAACACTTTATGTGTTTTTCGTTTGTCTTTACCTCTACCACACCAAAAAAGTAAATTTATAAAATTGTGTTAAATAATGGTATGAAGCTGTTTATTATTGTGCAATGTTTTAGCTTCAAAATAAGTTAACAATAATGTTGTTCAAATTCGGTTTTGACGAGAACCGAACCTCATATCTCTCACTTACACATAGGGATGAGGATATGGTTCAAACAAGGCCAAATGTTGCATAAATTGTTATTGCGGAACGATTATCATACTTGTAATAATCAGGAACTTATATCTACTATGTAGCTTGGTCATGTATTTTGTTATTTAAGCTATTACATTAAGACCAACTCCAATAGTAGGCTAAAAGCCAAATTACCTCCCAAAATTCCCCCCCAAACCCACTCCAACCCAAGGGAAAAATTTGGACTAAATGCTAAATGCTAAACTAAGGCCAGATTCCTCCCGAAATTTAGCCCATAAATCGAAATTTAAAATTTTCAATATTTATCGGAATTTAAATTTTTTTAGATTAAAATATTCATAAAATTAATTTACGATAGTCTACATATATATTTTTTTAATTTAATTTAACAAAAAAATAGCCTAAGTTCATTCTTTAATAATCTCAGGCTAAAATTTTATGCTAGAACAGTTGGAGTAGAAAAGCTGTTTCTGGGCTAAAAGCTAAATTTTCTGGGCTAAAATATTGGGTTTTTAGCTCAACCATTGGAGATGGTCTAAGGAAAAATGGGTTTAAACGTTTTTTTTATTTATTTATTTTTTCTCCTTGGACTTAGTCAATTTAAGGGTAAATTTGGCAAGAGAATACAAATAAGCTTATGTGGATAATGAATCACTGGACCCCACCCAAAAATTAAAATAAAATTGGACTATAACTAATAATGACTTATAAAATTGGACTCCTCCAAATTGGACTTCTCCCTCCCTCTATTTTATGGTACGTGTTTGGGTTTCCCACCACCAAATTCAGAAACTTGGGTTTCCCACCATCTATTTTTTATTTTAAACTCACAACATTACAAAATTGTGCCCACTAACTGTTATAAAAAATATTTAAAAAAAGGTTTTGTGCCCACGAACTATTATAATAATAATTTTAAAAAAGGTGTTATAATAAAGGGTGAGAAGCTGGGAAGCTTCTATTCTAACTTTTCTCCCACTTTCATCAAACAAAGGCAATCCCTAATTCTATCTCTCAGTCTGTCTCACCCTCAGTCTCCAAAAAATCAAATGATGCCCCTCCCCGCTCCTCCATCCAGTTCGAGCCCACTATTCCGTCGAGTACGTTCACTTCAATGCCGCTCCTCTGTCCAGTTCAAAAGCACTCATTCGGCGACACACATAGAGACACAAGAGGCCCAAAATACAGGTAAGGTTTCTGAATCTCAAATTTTCAATGGGTGTTTGTTCTTTAGGGTTTAGGGTCAAATTGGATGTTTATTTTGTCGAATATGGTTTATGGTTTGAGGACAGTGGGTTTAGGATTAAGAATCTAGGATGGGTGCAGGCCTTTGGGATTGGAAGGGTTTCAAGTTTGGTGTGCTCCGGTTTAGGGTGATTGTAGGACCTGCAGGTCATTGGGAAGGTGGGTGGTTAACGGTTCATAGGTTTAGGTTGGATAAATCAAGTCTTGCATAGACTTGATTAAATAGGTTTCATATAAATTGTAGTTAATAGTTAGATTGGATAAAACAAACCAAAACAACATATATTATTAAATAGGTTTCGTATAAGTTTGCTCGAGATCGAGCAGTGGTCCAAAGAAACTTAAGTTATGGTATAGAGCCTAGGACAAGATTAGGTAGATTAGCTGGCCTGGAACTGTAAACGACCAGTTTAGGACCCTTGTGTCACATCTTGAAACTATCCAGACCAAGAATGAAATGAGAGGATCAAATGTATGTACATGATAACTAGTTTATCCACGGAACTAATTCAAGTGGAAGTAATAATTCAAT